GCCGGGCGGCGCGGCCCGGCCCGGTCCGGTCCGCCCCGCCAGGAGAGCCCTGCCAGCGGCTCCCGTGGCTCGGGCCTGCTCGGTGTCCAGCCTTCCCTGAGGAAGGAGTTGATGCAGTCTCGGGCTTGGAGGGCCCGTTAAAGGGGAGGTGTGGAACGTGTGTGCATCTCCAGGCAGTCAGTCGGTGGGAGAGTCCTTTAAAGGACTTAAAGCAAAACCCGGGGGTTTGGGGTTTTTTTCTTAATCAAAGACAAATATCTGCAGTATTTGAGGGATTATGACTAGATTAAATGGAATTTAGTTATCAGAAATAGGATTTGATATGGTTCTTGTAGCCAGGTTTTGACTTTTTGATGCCTGAAAAGCTCTTTGTTTAGGAAATAGTGCTGTGGAAGCTTGGAGCAAACCGAAGGAGCCGGGCTGGCCAGGAGTTGCATCAGGCGTGTGCCTACGAGTGGGAGCCTGGGAGCATGAAACCAGGTTGCGTGAGAATCTGTGGGTCATGGGTTGGACCGCTGGCATGGTCGTGAACAGGAATATAAAAGAACCGTTGTGCTTTGATTAAGCAGTCCCGAGACGTTGAGCCAAATAGTAGATCTGGTTGGATTATTTTTCCCTTCTTTCTAATCTTGCAAAAAGACTAAATAATGTTACGGGCTGGAATGTGATACTGCAAACACAAACCATATGAACAAAATACAGTCGTGTGTGGTGTAGCAAATTAATGTATAGAAGATCTTTGGCTATCTGTCCTCTAGCTAGCTGCATTTAGTCTTGCTATTATAGCACTTTGTCTCTTCGGCTTGTTTTGAAGTTATCTTTGGAACCATTTGTACTGTTGCTAGTATTCATCGTATCTGAGTAAATTATGAAAAGGCTAGATGCATGTTTCTTCCTCATCTGTCCTTACTTGAGTGGAGTCCTGGAATGAGACTTTTCCTGAGGCAGGATAGCAGTAAAGAGCAAAGACCCAGGAAGGGAATCAGAAAACATACTACTAACGTCAGGGTTTTAGTTTAGACCAGAAACGTGCTTTTTGAGTGGAATCTCCTGATCTCACCTGCTTAAGTGTTTTGGCTCACATAATCGAGCAGTTACAGAGCATATGAACTGAATATTTCATTTGGATAAGACTTGGAAAAGCATAAGCTAGCGATA